TAAGGAACCATAAAATCCTAATCTTGAAATAATATTGAAATATATTTATATGTAAAATAGTAATGGTGGCACTACTCATTGTGATATTTTTATTTTATTCAATATACTACAGCAGGACCAAGTTTGTTAATATATCGTGAAAAAGGAAATTTAATTTTCTAACTCCTAAAAATATAATATGTAATTGTGGTAAGAATATTTTAATTATTAATTATATTTTGAAACAAAAGCATATCACTTCTTAATATTGACCTGTCTTTTCAAGTAATTTTCTGTCGAAACAAGCAAAGATATACCAACGAGAATTAATTCAAACCTTTTCTATCTAATAAAATAATATGTTCAAAGCTAAATTTCATACATGCGAACCAAAAATTTAACTTAATCAAGCCAATCACAAACCTAACTACAAATAACATAACACAAATTAATTAAAACACAACAATCTTAATTCCATAAAGAGTTAATTTGCACAACAAATGTAATATTTCATTTCCAAAGACAATGTCAAATCCTTTAACGTGATAACGTTATAACCATCAACAATCCAAGTTAATCGTATAAAACCTTTTCGGAGTTAAAATAAAGAGATCTAAGTGGGCAAGAGGTGTGTTTAATGTAGAGGTGTCAGTTTAGGGGGGGGGGTTGTTGGGGGGAGGGGGGGGGTGAGCTCCCGCGAGATACTTTGACACTTGAAGCTGTGTTTTCTAAAACCCTCCCTTTCCCACAATCAACTGGGAAAACACAAAATACCGTCCTTCTAACTTCCCGCTTTTAATCCATTCACTCGTTCTTTTGACCTCGAAATTGCCTTATCTCCCGTGAATACCGCCTACTTCAAAGTGCCGTTTTATGTGGGAAGTCCTTACTAAATCGGTTAATGTGATACGTATTAATTGTAATCATGTTAGGTTTTATGATTTTTTATTATTTTTTTCGAATAACTTAAGTTGGGTAATATGTAGTCTTTCAAGTTGTTTATAGGGGGATTTTGGCGTAACAATGGGATTTTGTATGGGAGTGTGTTTTACAAAATGATTTTAAGGGAATGCAGTTGTTGGGTGTGTATCACGGGTTGTTTATACGTCATTAAATTCTTTCTGGTCACAAATTACTCAATAAATGTGTGGCTTCAATTTTATTAATCACTAAATAAAGGCCGACAAATTAAAATTGAGTCATGAACCTTTATTTAAAATTGAATTATTTTTATTTTTTTAAATTGTCTTTAGATAAAGGCATATATCCCCAATTCTATATAACTCCCAAAACTCTTCAGAGTCTTTAATACTTCGTCAAAGTATTAACTTTTATTTTAACTATGGATTGCTTACTGGGAGTTATTTAGCATTGGAGATGTATGTCTTTAACTAAAGACAATTTTCAAAATAAAAGTTATTTATTTTTAAATAAAGGGCCATGACTCGTTTTAAATTTGTCAGATATTATTTAGTGCTTAATAAAATTAAAGCCAAACATTTACTGAGTAGTATGAGACCAGAAATAACTTGGTGACGTATTAACAACCCGAGATATAAATCTTTTAATAAAATCTGATTTAAAAAAAGTTATTGTTAATATTGTGTTGGGGTTTGTAGCTATTCTCTAACTCGTTGTTTTTAATGATACGTAGCTCATATGAAAGTCCTTACATCACTGAATATTTTAAGGCTAACACAAACTGCAAGCGTTAATAAGAACTGAATATATAAGAACTAAAATCACAAAAGATTTCAAAGAATGAAACGTCCCTAAGAGTTGTATGGGGGAGATTTTTCGTTTTAATGCATCTTTAAAACGAAAAAAGTTAAATTAGTGTAAAAATCTAGTTTATAATGATGTGTCACAACACTATCATTGCATTTAAAACTGTTTATTTATATCCAATATGGCGGATCCAAGATGACGGCCAAAAATGCGTTCCCTACCGAAATTAAGTACAAACCACCCAATAAATATCGGTGGCGGTCCCAAGTCAATGCATAGAAAAATGTGTATAAAAAATGCACGTGGTATCTTTTTTTTATTTGTCCAATGTTGCGAAAAGCCGCCATTTTAATCGTGATTAGGGTTTCCCGTTGACTGTTTTTTGGCAACTTCCAGTATGTTACTCTGCACACTCAACACTACAAAATAAAACCAAAATATGTTTTCTTGCAATCTTTTTAACAATTCCTGTGTTTTTTTTTTTTTTACTTTGCTTGGACTAGTAGGCATACCGTGACAAACCTTGCAAGAATATGTAGTGACTCCATCAGAGTAGAGACGGATTTTTATACGCTGCTCAGCCAGGTCTTGCACAGTAGAATGATTACCTGTGTAAAGTTATTTGTATTCCATCCAATAAATTTCTAAAAAAAAGGTTTTATAGGTAATGCGAGGCAATACAGAGTTTATATCTGTAAAATTATTGATTTTATTCTAAATACTTTAACATTACTTTAATGTATATGTTGCCTATGAGGTTTGAAGTAATTGCCACATCTATTATCTTTGACAAATAGCTGTATACATATCTATATTTTGAAGTCCATACTTAAATAATGTTGTGTAGATTTACACTGAAATAGCAAGGTTCGTCGATCCTTAAGGTAAGGTTATTGCAGGGCATCACAAATAAAAAAACAAAGACCCTTCATATTTAAACTTATTATGTTATTTTATTTGTACAATAATTTACACTGTCCAGAAAGGATGATATACACATGAACTTAAATATTTGTGAGGGCTTTCGTTGAGGGAGTGCCCCAATACAAAGGAATTTCTCTTCACCCATCTTTTTGTTTGTTTCCTTGATAATTTAACAGCATAAGATAGCACTGAACTACAATCTACCGGTGGCACATAGGCAAGAATTTAACTCTTGTCTAATTGAGATATGCTCTGCGCTCAATGAGATCAACCAAGACACACCCATTTTACTACCAAATTAAATGTTATTATTTTAGCAAGTTTGTTAACATTACATTGAATAGTAATTTACTTAAATTTCGCCCTTTCATCATAAAACAGCTCTTTTAGTTATATACCCAGTATACAATTTTTTTTTAAATTTATTACAAAACAATGTATTTTTACTGAAAACCACATTTTTAGCAAATCTATATTTACATAAGACTATGAGTTCAAACCACCCAGTTTTTCAAGTACTTTATTGGAAATACAAATTTACATAAAATAATAAGTATTTTATATAATCAGCAAGAATATTTACAAACTCCAATTGTACAAGTAGAATTGATCTACCAAAATCGAGACTTGTTGAATAAGATAGAATAAACAAGAAAATCTCAAACCATTCAGACGAAACGGAAAAGGAAGTGGTTGAAGTTGAAAGAAGAGTGTATAAAAGTTGAGTGTTGAGGGGGAGAACTTTGGCTCTGTCAGGTTGGTACCTCCCCCCCCCCCTTCAGCGAGTCTGAGCTCACTTGTTACCACCGACACCTTTTAAACATAATTTAAATTTCCTCTCATTTTCCCTATTTAACTAACTAATTTGTCTGCAAATATTTAATAAATATTTTCTTTAAACGTTTTATAATTAGTAGGTAAAAAATAAAAAAATAAAATAATACTATATGTGTAGATTTTTTAAGCAGAGTGCCCAAGTATACAGTTTGGTCAAACAATCAGCACGAAAAATACCTAAATAAATTTAAAGATCTAAAATTAAGACTGTAAATAGGGTAGTAGCAAACATTTTTCATTACTATTTTTTTCCTACAAAACAATACAATGTAGAATAAATTTCAAGAGATTTGAAAAATATCTCGTTTGAAAAAACTCTTGTAATTGAGGGTTGTTGTGTGGTTTTTTCTGTACAATTATATTCAACTAACATGTTAAATCTCCTAAAGTCAATCAAAAAATTCGAATACATCTTTTGACAAATATTTTAAAACTGATAAATGTTACCTACGAAATTTAAAACAGTTTCGAATAGATTATGTTTTTAATTTGTTTATCAGCTTTAAAATTTGAAGTTTAATTGTACAAAACCTTTATTGAGTTTTAAGAACTGCCAAAGAAATATCAGTACTTTAGTTGAAAAGTTATTTCCTGACCAAAATAAAAGAAAAGTAAATTTAAAATTACAAAAAAAAGCCAAAAAGTCTTATAAATTTTAAAATATATAGTAAGTATGTATCTAAATATCAATATCAATTAAACCCTCCAATAAAGACAACGAATTTCTTGTGTCTTGAAATGAATTATTGTTCAGTGATCGCCTAAGCACACAAATTACTTGAAGTATGACGTCTTAGCTAAATGAGGACGTTCATTAAAATGGCGGAGCGTCTTGGTCTGCTAGCCATTAATACCCCATTAGGTCTTTAATTATTGATGTCTTTTGGAGCGATTATTTGTTCAAGACAAACGCCCCATTAACTAACATTTCTAAAGACAAATCTCGATCGAATCATATACTATGGTAAATTAACAATGGGTCCAACATATTAGTCGTTAATTTCGAAAATAGAAATACTTTATAGTCTCATAATAATTATATAACTCACGTGGATGTGATTATGTACGCGATTATATACACAATGGATATTTCAAGATATTTTAAGTTGCTTAGTGGATAAAAAGCGTGGAGAAATAATTTGTAGGTTTACACAAAGTGTGTTTGTACAGTTTTGCTAGAAAATCATGATCAAACACAAGTAAAGGGTGTCCCAGTAAGAACGCCGGATTTGAGGAGCGTCTTATCCTTATCTGTATTTCAATAGGAATTCCCAAATTATCAGCGATGTTATCAGTATTAGGTCCCATTTGTAGTCATGAATCGCTACACGACGGAACAACGCGTGGTCATAGTTAAAGTGCACTACAAGCACGGAAGCTGCGCGCTATTTACGGCCGGGACAATGCACCAAATGATCCATCCGTCCGAGGATTCGAAGTTCGAATAAATTGGCTCAGTTCTATTTTGGGGATATTTAAAGTCGCTTGTTTTCGCCAATAACCCTCAAACAATCCAAGACTTGAAGGAGGAAATGATTCGTGCCATTAATGGAATTCAACAGGAAGTGTGTGAAAAAGTGATGGAAAACTTTGTCAAGAGATGTCGAGCTTGTCAGTATTCAGCTCAGCAGGTTGGTGCTTACAAAACATAATACTCAATTACTAATCGGAGATACAATGCTTTAATATTCATGTTTCATATTGTAAATTTAGGGAGAAAATATATGGTTTGTTAACATTTCAAATCCGGCGTTCTTATTGGGACACCCTTTATAAGCTGTAGTAATATTAAAATAAAGAGTTTGAGAAAAAAATTGTCATCATATTGTTATGGAAGTCCATTAATAATCTAAAAAAATTGCGATAAATTCATAATACAATCAAGAACTTTTCAAAGTGGGAATGTTAATAAAAAAAACGTAAATAACTATTTGTGAAGAACACAACGTAAGGAATCTAGATTATTTAGATATGATTATATACCTTGTACAGAAAGTCTAAGTACTAATTAAATCTAATTAAATAAAAAAGGGAATAAATTTGTCATTTTTTATACAATCAGGCTAATGTAAAATCTCTTAGGTTAGCAGGTTTGCTGCGTTTGGGGTATTATTTACTCAACACAATTTCATGCGTAATGTGGGTAAGGTGGATCAACAGATCAATAAATTATTGTTCAATGGGAAAATATAATTGTAAAGGTTTCATTGCATGATTAGAGTAATATTGATGCATACAAAAGGCAACGACAGATTTTAAAACTTCCATTCTTGTGTTTTTAAATATTCATGAAATACACGCTCTTTTACAAAACTTCAGAAATAAAATGTTTTACAATTTTATAGATCATGATCTTAAGCATGTTAAAGAGATTGTATGTTGAAAAATAAATGAAAATTCCCCAGATAAAAGTGTGTTACGCTTTTTACTCTTTTTTTCAAAATGTGTTTAAGTTGAGGTTGGTTTAATGAATTAAGAAGTAGTGTTGAAGTATAGTTCACTTAAGATTAAGTAAATAGAGCAACACTACAATATTTACTTATTGTTTATTATTTTTCCCCCAAGTAGATTTAGTCTATTTAATACCTTGCCAGTATTAAAACTGTTTCGTAGGAAAATAATAGCAAAATAATTGTATATGGGGATTTTATAAACTAGTTTTGGAACTTTTAAAACGCCATTTGAAAATATCACTAAATAGAACTTTTACCTTATACCTTTGCATATATTAATGAATCATAACTTTGACTGATTCACTGTATTATTTCAACATAACCACATTATTTTTATACTCACATTACATTGGAATAAATGAGATTTTAAACATTCGTAAATCAGAAATTATCTCTTTAAATATTTGTAATTGATTGAAATATCAGTTTTAGGAATATTGCAAATTAAGCTTCATGATTTTATAATGATGTACCGATACCAGATTTTATTTCAACCAAATTCCTAATTTACAAACTGCCACATATTCGTGTTACTAAGCTGTGCAGGATAAAAAAATCCAACTATTCTTGTAAAATCAGATCTTTTTTGCCTTTTTCTCAGCTAGTTTTACAAGACGACTGTATAATGTTACTTAATTATTTAGTTTGATTTGTTATTGGCAATTTGATTTATAAAAAAAGTTTACATTCATATTTTAAATTATCATCTTACAATTACGAAAAACTATACAACAAATATTGATGTTAAATTTTAATAATGGAGGCATATATGGTCTCGTAGGGATTATGTCAATTATTGGGTTCAAATCTACCATTCAATAACAAAATTATTATTAAAGTTATTGTTAGGCGTTATTCTTAGGTTCCCGTCCTACTTTAAGCTACAAGAAAGATATATTAACATTAACTGTGTGTGTGTTAGGTGACTGTGGGATGGAACACTCTTTGCATTGAAAATCTCACTATTTCTCTTTTTGCAGAAAAAAATTAATTGTTACTAAAATCTAATTTGGAATTTTTATAAATATGAAGTTTGGTAGCTATAAGCAAATAAGTATATCTTAGATTTCAGAATTATTAATATTTTTTTATATTATTAGTGTATATTGAAAGAGACTATCTATTTTGTGCTTGTACAAATATGGAATTTTAATTAAAATGTAGAAGTACACAGTTTAGTAACTTAATACATATTTAACCATATTTTAATTTTCCCCATACATATATTTATTTTAAACATTTTACCTAATGATTATTATTAAAAATGTAAAAACTAACAATAAGCTCGAAAAATACATTTATGTTTTTTTTACGCATTTTGTACCCTATGAGTAGTTAGGGTCAGCGCTTTGGGTCTAACATGGGCTCTTATGGGAAATAGATTTACATCTACCTAGCGTAAATAAACTGCTATTTTTATCCCTGTGTAAATTTTTATTTAATAACTGTATACTGACACTGTATTACATACGTTCTGTTTAATATGTGTGAATGTATAAGCTATAATCTAATTTTTTATGTTTATGTCTTTTAACTAATGTATACAATATCTATACAATATTTATATAGGGAGTAGGATACCCAGCTCTTGCGGGGACCAATCAGAGAGCAGCATTTCATCCCCACTCTTTCCCTTAAACTATGCCCCTGGTGTCCCACGTGGTCTAACCACACTTTTACCCACGTGGTCTAACCATACTTTTGCCCACGTGGTCTAACCATACTTTTACCCACGTGGTCTAACCTTACTTTGATTTTCGCGCCTAACAACATAACCTCACCTTCCCGCCAACTCCTGCTAAGTGAAACCTATGTGGACATTTTATGGATGTTATGTATTTTTGGGATGATGGTTAATCTGAATAATGTTTATTTTTTTTATTTTTTTTTTATTACACCAAACGTTTATTTCCGGTCGAGTTGATATGTTGATTTTCGGTGTTGTATTGTAGTCTCTGTCTGTGTATGAGCTTTTGATCGCAGAGGTTTGCGGGTTTGAATCCTACCAGTCACTAAATGTTTTATTTCCGGTTGGGGTGATTTGTTAATTTTTGGTGTTGTCAGTCACCAAACTTTTCATTTCCGGTTGTGGTGATATATTGATTTTTGGTGTTGTATTGTAGTTAACTGTATGAACCTTTGGTCCCAGAGGTTTGCGGGTTCGAATCCTACCAGTCACTAAACGTTTCATTTCCGGTCGGGGTGATATGTTGATTTTTGGTGTTGTATTGTAGTTAACTGTTTGTATATGAACCTTTAATCCCAGAGGTTTGCGGGTTTGAATCCTACCAGTCACTAAATGTTTCATTTCCGGTTGGGGTGATATGTTGATTTTTGGTGTTGTCAGTCACCAAACGTTTCATTTCCGGTTGTGGTGATATATTGATTTTTGGTGTTGTATTGTAGTTAACTGTTTGTATATGAACCTTTGGTTCCAGAGGTTTGCGGGTTCGAATCCTACCAGTCACTAAACGTTTCATTTCCGGTCGGGGTGATATGTTGATTTTTGGTGTTGTATTGTAGTTAACTGTTTGTATATGAACCTTTAATCCCAGAGGTTTGCGGGTTTGAATCCTACCAGTCACTAAATGTTTCATTTCCGGTTGGGGTGATATGTTGATTTTTGGTGTTGTATCATACCAGTCACCAAACGTTTCATTTCCGGTTGTGGTGATATATTGATTTTTGGTGTTGTATTGTAGTTAACTGTTTGTATATGAACCTTTGGTCCCAAAGGTTAGCGGGTTCGAATCCTACCAGTCACTAAACGTTTCATTTCCGGTTGGAGTGATATATTGATTTTTGGTGTTGTATTGTAGTTAACTGTTTGTATATGAACCTTTGGTCCTAGAGGTTAGCGGGTTCGAATCCTACCAGTCACTAAACGTTTCATTTCCGGTTGGAGTGATATGTTGATTTTCAGTGTTGTATTGTAGTCTCTTGTCTGTGTATGAGCTTTTGATCCCAGAGGTTTGCGGGTTCAAATCCCACTGGTCACCAAATATCAATTTCCGGTTGTGGCGATATGTTGATTTTCAGTGTTGTATTGTAGTCTCCTGTCTGTGTATGAGCTTTTGATCCCAGAGGTTTGCGGGTTCAAATCCTACCAGTCACTAAATGTTTCATTTCTGGTTGGGGTGATATGTTGATTTTTGGTATGATGTTGTATTGTAACTGGAGTAGTGTGAACCTTTGATCCCAGAGGTTGTGGGTTTGAGCCCTACCAGCCACTGATTGTTTCATTCTTGGTTACAATGAGTTTTAGTATGGTATAGAGAGTTAAGTGGTTCAGTCTAGGGTTTAAACCCTACTAGTATCTAATTGTTTCATAACCGGTATTTCTTATCGTTGTGTAACATGTACCTGTTAAATTAATCAGCTGTGACTTCCTATGCCAAGATCGTATCTGTAACATAACCCCACTTTCTGTATTATACCAAGTCTATTAATTCATATTTGTGACACTGGAGCGCTAGTTTCGATGAAATTTGCCTAGTGTCATTTAATTTAATGATATATTGACTAACAAAGCATCTACAGAATATCTGATAAAGCTTGTCCTATATTAATGCTTACCTTACTTAAATGATTTATTTAATGGTAATCATCATAGACTTATATGTATCACTCTAACATGTAATTTAACTATTACCTTGAAACTAACGAACTGGCACTGAAGATTTACTACAAAAGATTATACCAACATATAAAAAAATGAGCACTGTACTTTTCACTAATTACTTGTACTGTATTTTAATACACCCAACTAATATACTATCACTTTTGTAGAGTGTTGTAAATCTGATATGTGAATGACTTCATCTTTCTGGCCTAACATCTGTTGACTAATAATAACCATGCACTACCTCAATTCAGAGGTTGTGGGTTCGAATCCTATCAGTCACCGATCTGGTTGGGTTAATACTTTGAGTTTTAGTATTGAAGTGGGAGTAGTGTGAACTATGATCCCAGAGGTTATAGGTTTGTATCTTACTAATACCCATCTTCATATCTGGTATTTCTTGTGTAATATGTTTCTGCCAAATTAATCAGCTGTGACATAACCTTAACTTTGAACCTTAGTTATGTATATAGTCTAAAACAAGTCTTTTTGGAATTAAACTAGTGTTGATGAAGTTTTATCACTTGTGCTTGATTTATTGAAACGTTGAATAACAAGAAACAAATAGGGTAATTTACCAAGTTTATGGTAATGAATGTAACATGATTTAAATTAATTACCTGTATCCTTGTAACTTTAAATTGGTACATTACATGGGTACTGTACTGTATCACACTTGTAATATATTGTATTACACTTGTATTGCACTGTATTACATCTGTACTGTACTGAACCCACTTATTACTTGTACTGCATTGTATTACACTTAATAATTGTACTGTTCTAATACACAATAACTTTTATAGAGTTGTACATTTGACAACTGATACTGATTGTGTTGACCTTATCACCTTCGATTGTGGTTTCTGGTGTAACTTCTTGTTGATATTTTCATGGATCAACATACACATTTATGCACCACCTCAGCTGTTTACTGTATAACTTGTTGCTACCTACATTAAAACCTGTTATAATCCTTGTGTGTTAACAGTTTTCTGTTTAGCTAAACACATAGTAATAATATCAATGGCTGTGTTAAGTGTTTAAATTTACTGTCTATGTCTTTTTGTTGTTGTAACTGTAAACATACCCTTTTAACTATCTGATGACTGTTGCCTGTGCATTATTGTCTAACATCTTTCTTTATACCTGTCATATCCTAACAGTGGAGAGCCTAGAATGTATGTTGACTTAAGTTACTGGACCTTACGCACTGATAATAGCTCTATGTTTAGATTTACCAACATAAAACTTCTAATGTATCCTTTTTTACACTGATGTTAAATTTGCATTATCTCTGGTTAATAGTGTATACATTTAGTCATTCCTGTATAGTGCTAATGATTATTTTCTATAGATATAGTATACTGTCCTGATTACTTTTTGTCAAGGTCTATGCTTAAATATCTAGATGATTTCTGAATGGTATGGTCAACTAGTTACACTTTACAAAAGAATTAGAGTAAAGATGGGAATTGGTTAATATGGTTGCTTAAATCCACTGTAAAAGTTACATACCTACCAGGGATTATAGAGGAACAATTTGATTGTACTGTTTATTTTAGTGAATGTATTTTTTATTATGTATTTGAAATTAGTTTTAGAGCAATGAAAACTAATAATTTTACTGACTCGTAAACATAGAACACCCATTATAAGGATAAATAAAGAACAGAAGATATAAAAATAAAACAATAGTTGTGTATTCAATTTCTAAATATGTAATTAAACATACTATACCTGGAGTAGGAGGTGAAGGAGGAAGAAGAGAAGGAAGAGGAGTTGTAGGATGAGGAGACGGAAAAGGAGGAAGAAAAGGAGAAGAAGGAGGAGAAAGAGAAGGAGAAAGAAAAGGAGGAGGAGAAGGAGGAGAAGGCGATAGAGGAGGAGAAGGGGGAAGAAGAGGAGAAGAAAGAGAAGAAGGCGGAGAAGGTGGAGAAGAAAGAGAAGAAGGAAGAAAATGAGAAGGAGCAGGAGCAGGAGAAGGAAGAGAAAAGGAGGAAGAAGAAGATAAGGATGAGGGAAAAGGAGAAAGAAAAGGAGAGGGACGAAGAAGGGGAAAAGGAAGAGGAGGAGGAGTATACTCATTTCAAGTAAATGGTAATTGTATGTAACTGCCTAATCTCAAAAGAGCTTAGGTGACCCAGTTTCCACACCACGGTAAGCTGTTAGGCTAGGCCGTAGGGTCTCAGCGCGTTCTTTTTGTTAACCCAGAGCTTCACCAAGAGTCCTAACCTCTGGGGTAGGCTGCCCCAACCATCGCAGCCTACGGTGATGGTCACTCCATAACAGATTTGCCACCTCCCAATTTTTTTTGGTCCTTTGATAAATGTAAAGGGTTATTTACTTGGTGAAGCCTTTCAATTAACCCCTTTTGCCACTGACAAAGGATATTTTACTTTTATATGTTTTTTGCCTCTGTCAACCCGTTCATTTTAAAAGTCATCAGGCCATTTACTAAGCGAACCGTTCATTTTAGCCTACGACATTTTATTTACTAAGAATGACAGAGATTTTCTAATTTGTTTTTGTCAGATTATAGTCCGAAGTGAGAGGGAAATTAGGTGACATGGAGGATAACGCAATATTTTACGATTTTTAGGTCAACCTCCGTACCAGCCCCTGGACTTATGGGTTTTAAGCCTGCCTGTTGGGCGAGTACACACACACACATACACATAGGGAGGATAACGCAATGTTTTACGATTTTTAGGCCAACCTCCGTACCAGCCCCTGGACTTATGGGTTTTAAGCCTGCCTGTTGGGCGAGTACACTCTCACACACACACACACACACACACACAAGGAAACACCTTGAACTATAATCTGGTTTTTAACTTGAATTGTATATTTTTAATATTCATATTCTGATATAAAATTATATTGTCACAATGTACTTTACTTTGATACATATTCCAACATTTTAATTGGTAGCTATTTTCTGGAGAAAATTTTAGAGCATTATCTCATGTTCATAGAATCTCAAGGATTAAACTCATTTTTAGGTTAAATGATTTAGGGTTTTATTTATCAACGATACCTGCTTGGTATAGAAACGGTTGTCACTTCAATTTTTAAAACACCTGTCATTGATTCTATTTTAGCAAATATACTGTCAAAGTAATTAGAGAATGATGCTGGCGTAAGTGTTGCAATTGGAATAAATGGTATATTACCAGATGTGTCTTCATATGTTAATAACACCCCAATAAAACATGATGAGGGTGTGTCTTCTGTAATTATTCCTATAATATGGTTTGAAAATGCCCTTGGCCATTCCAACACATCTATCGAATCAGTGAGAAAAAACTGAAACTCTGAGGTCTTAATACCAAACCTCTTACTTTCAATTATGTCTTTTTTAGACAGAAACCTCAGAAATACAGCCATTACAAGTGAGGAGATCACCAATGATACGTCTGTTCTCGCTGACTGTTGCAGGTAAAGTGATTAAAAACATACTATGACACCCACCTATATAAGGGTCAATGCTTCTGTTTTTTGTACCCATAGGGGAGAGTGTCATGCTCTCCTTCGTACTTTCTCTTTGGACCAGTTACCTTAAACTGTTTAACTTCATCTGTTGTTACAATATCTCTATATTTTGTTCGTCTAATCCTGTGCTCATCAATTTCAACGATTTTAGAAGCTTCACTTAAAACCATCTCTTTTAGTTTCTCAAAATTCAAAATTTTCGATGTTTTAATATTGAGAGTAAGCCCTTTGATTTTACAAACCGGGATAAATTTCTGTTGATTTGTCGACCAGACAAGGTATGCATACGTTTTTGGACCCCCAGACACAAATTCAGTAATATAAGAGCCGGGTCCATACTCTACTAATTCGTCTGTCATTTCACCAAGGTAATCTCCTGTAGGCACCCTATACAACCCTTCGTGGTAGTAATATATAATACTATCTGTATCCCAATATAGTACTTGATCTCCTAGAGCATCAAGGTGTTCATACAACTTAAGTCTAGCGTGGGCAGTAGTGAAGGCCGCCATGACTACACTTACAGTTCTTAAAGATTCACTAGCTTCTTCAATATTTTGCCAATTTACTAGCACAACATCTTGGTTAATTGCCTGGAAGTATTTTAACTTCCCCTCAGGATTGGTTAATAGCCGAAAGAACTCTTTGGCATCTCGGATGATTGAAGTTTTCATCATATTTTCCCTCTGCCCAAACTTGCCCCAGAAACTGTTAAGCATCAATTTTGCTACTGATCTTAAACCACCGTTCTTAACAATATGCTCCTTTGTCATCTCAATCCCTTCACGTTCAAGAAATTTTGCAATGTACTTGTTTTTGTCTTCCTCTGTCTTACACCATCCGGGGTATCCAGAAGCCTCTTGCTTTAGTTTTAAGAATTTATCAATAAACTCAGTGAACAATCCCCCATTTTCATATGTGGCTACCTCATACTCCCACAACTCAAGCATATCCAGTATAATGTAACCTTTCTCTACAGCCTTCCTAATTTCATCCATCGTCCACGTCCCAATCAACGCTCTATCTTCACTTTCATGAAAACAATCCCCCTGGTACATCATTTCCCCACATGTTCTGCAGAGAACAAACATCAATTTATCATGAATACGTGTTGGCAAAACCGGATGATACAAGTTGAAAGGAGGCAAGATCTTGCATTTTAACAGTCCATCTACATCCATGCCTCTCTGTCTACATTCCTTATTACCAACATATATAGTTGGATGACCTATAGGATATTTACAGTACTTATTTACAAAAGGATATAGCGAACATACATCGACGTATTGTATGGTTTCTCCTGGACCACATTTGTAGTAGGTTTTTGCGTTTCCTGTTCTACCTCCAAAGAATGCATCTCTAGGATTTAATGGAAGTGTATTTAAAATTGGTAATTTGTTCAGATGGTTAAGTTTTTGGTCATGTTTTAATTTTTTGAATTCACATTCCCAAATCTGCACTACATCTCCGAGCTTTTCGATTTTAGCTTTAGTGCGCTCATATCGCAAATGGAGAGAATCAGAGGGGTCTTCTTTTAACGGGGTATCACGATTATAGGAGAAACATTTAGGGCACCCGTGCCAGTAACATCCGTGGAACTCGTATATGTTTCTACCATCAAAACCATCTACTTTCATCCCCTTTATAACAACCTCTTTACTACGTCCAGCATGATTGATTGTCACCCCACGTCTTTCCTCCTCCCAGGTAAGCCACTGAAGTGCAACAGCTGACTGAGTAGAAGACCGGTAACCGTTTTTTGGGATAAGTCCAATTGTGTTAGGTTTTAAGAAATTGCGGCGAAAGGCCAGATTGCAGGCACTCGCGATGGTCACAGTCTCGAGAAACGGGTCAACATTGCATTGTTCAAGTAGTAACGATCTAAATTTGATACATGCCTGAGCTAAGATATCTACATCTGACATACAATATTCTAATAATTCCTTTTGAAAATTAAACTCATACTTTTTTGCAACCTGTTCATCGTACCACTGCTCAAAATCTCTGTGAGTTTTCTCGAACATACTCTCAGGACAGTAAAAATGTTTTTCTGGCATAGGGCCTATGTAATTTTGATTAGCCACTGTATTGAACAAGTGTGGGAAGTAACCTTTCTTCTTTTCAGGTGGTAAGTCAAAAGCTTTTGGTAAGGCAGATAAGGACATAGGGAAGTAGCTAAGAGAGTCAATAAATCTAACGTTAGCAACCTCCATCAAAATAATTTTAGTACCTCTAGGGATGATGTTTGGTGTGAATTTAGTTTCTTCGAGTATATACCTAAGTATAAAGTGAAAGTCAAAACCCTGCCCGTTGTGTGCAATTACACAGACGTTTTTGAAATGTTTACGGGTTTCCATTACATAGTTCATAAACTGCTTAACAGGATTGCTATCAAATATTTTATAACGTTCTGAACAAGAATCACATTCCTGCCTATTTATGCATTTGAAACAGAACTGTTGAGAAACACATAAATTCACTTTATGTAACTTAGTCTCGGGATCTGTGGGTAGGGACTCATCTTGGCGTGTTTCCAGATCAAAGAAAATAAATAGGTAGTCGCGGTCTTTTGGGGCTTTCTTGTCTATCTGAATGTAGCATTTATGATTAGGATCTTTAAATGTACCACAAGGGTGACAATATACCTCTCCACACACATGAGCCAATTTACGTTTAGTCGGGAATATCATTTTTTCACACCCTCGGCAGAACTTAATTGTTTTACAAATTTGTCTCTGATGGGCAATAAAGCACCGTTCATTTTTGAAAAAGCGGTTACAATAGCGGCAAGATATGCCGCCATCTTCCTCTACACAAGGAGGTGAGAAAGTGTGACAAGATGGACAGATATTTGAACATCTGTGTTGACCTTTGTGATCATAGGGTATGTGACAGGCGTCACAGAAATAATTGCAAACAAAAGCAGCTGTTAAGTTTGTAATAACATTATAATGGTTATCATGGTACAATAAGTTGATTTTAAATTTTGCATCACTATTCCCACCAGAGAAATATACATCCCGACCCTTGCTATCGTAATTATACACGGTTATTCTATATTTCTTTAAATGTGCCTGGAACTTCTCGAGTTCAGGAATACCTGCTCCCTCTTCAGGCATGTCAATACATGCTTTAGCTATAAGTTTCTTTGCCCTAATTGTCTGTCGCAAACACTTGTCTTTACGAATTCCATAGATCTGAGGATCCATTTTTGCATATGCTTTACCTACAACTATGGCTCTAGCTAGACATAAGTTGTCAGTGTTATTTATAACAATAATCCCTTTCCTTGCTTTACATTCTTCGTTGAATGAATTATACATTCCTGGACGCACTCTGCCCTTCCCTACAGGAACATTAACTCTAGAAACACCGACCGTAAACGTATCACTACTAGTAATTGACTCAGAGTTACTTTGAATTATGCCTCCAAAAATATCCCATAGTGAATCAACTGTAACCTCAGAGGCTAATTGTGGAACAACATACCCAGGTTCTTTAGATTTTAAATTAATAGAGGTAAGAGTAAACCCTAAGTAGTCAGTTGGTGAACAGTCGTGTTTAGATTGTTCTACTATTTGCTCAAGACCCTTGCGTATCCACTCTAATTCAGATACCCCTTCCGGAGGTTCAGTAAATTTAAAGGTAGTTTTCCATCCATAAAGCCTAAATTTTGGCACAAATGTTCTCTTTTCGACGATAAAACTAACGGGGCTGGTCAATTTATGAGGACCTTTTTGGCAAACTCCGTCACAGGACTCCATGATATAATTGTCTATGGATAAGTAAAGAGTTCAAAACACGTCAAACCACAGCAAAGGCAAATGATAGACTAAAGTAGGCAACCTTCCCTACGATATATATAAGGTAATGTAGGCGATGGTGCTGCCTCTGGTGTCAAAACATCAAACTAAACCGCAACTGGAGACATGAAATCAGCGACTCTAGCGGTGAAACACCACCATTTTCTGTTGTTATTATTAGGGTTTGTTACCATTTGGTGTTGTCATCATAGTTCCAAGTTTTACCGCTAGAGTCGCTGATTTCAAGTCTCCAGTTGCGGTTTAGTTTGATGTTTTGACACCAGAGGCAGCACCATCGCCTACATTACCTTATATATATCGTAGGGAAGGTTGCCTACTTTAGTCTATCATTTGCCTTTGCTGTGGTTTGACGTGTTTTGAACTCTTTACTTATCCATAGACAATTATATCATGGAGTCCTGTGACGGAGTTTGCCAAAAAGGTCCTCATAAATTGACCAGCCCCATTAGTTTTATCGACGAAAAGAGAACATTTGTGCCAAAATTTAGGCTTTATGGATGGAAAACTACCTTTAAATTTACTGAACCTCCGGAAGGGGTATCTGAATTAGAGTGGATACGCAAGGGTCTTGAGCAAATAGTAGAACAATCTAAACACGACTGTTCACCAACTGACTACTTAGGGTTTACTCTTACCTCTATTAATTTAAAATCTAAAGAACCTGGGTATGTTGTTCCACAATTAGCCTCTGAGGTTACAGTTGATTCACTATGGGATATTTTTGGAGGCATAATTCAAAGTAACTCTGAGTCAATTACTAGTAGTGATACGTTTACGGTCGGTGTTTCTAGAGTTAATGTTCCTGTAGGGAAGGGCAGAGTGCGTCCAGGAATGTATAATTCATTCAACGAAGAATGTAAAGCAAGGAAAGGGATTATTGTTATAAATAACACTGACAACTTATGTCTAGCTAGAGCCATAGTTGTAGGTAAAGCATATGCAAAAATGGATCCTCCGATCTATGGAATTCGTAAAGACAAGTGTTTGCGACAGACAATTAGGGCAAAGAAACTTATAGCTAAAGCATGTATTGACATGCCTGAAGAGGGAGCAGGTATTCCTGAACTCGAGAAGTTCCAGGCACATTTAAAGAAATATAGAATAACCGTGTATAATTACGATAGCAAGGGTCGGGATGTATATTTCTCTGGTGGGAATAGTGATGCAAAATTTAAAATCAACTTATTGTACCATGATAACCATTATAATGTTATTACAAACTTAACAGCTGCTTTTGTTTGCAATTATTTCTGTGACGCCTGTCACATACCCTATGATCACAAAGGTCAACACAGATGTTCAAATATCTGTCCATCTTGTCACACTTTCTCACCTCCTTGTGTAGAGGAAGATGGCGGCATATCTTGCCGCTATTGTAACCGCTTTTTCAAAAATGAACGGTGCTTTATTGCCCATCAGAGACAAATTTGTAAAACAATTAAGTTCTGCCGAGGGTGTGAAAAATGATATTCCCGACTAAACGTAAATTGGCTCATGTGTGTGGAGAGGTATATTGTCACCCTTGTGGTACATTTAAAGATCCTAATCATAAATGCTACATTCAGATAGACAAGAAAGCCCCAAAAGACCGCGACTACCTATTTATTTTCTTTGATCTGGAAACACGCCAAGATGAGTCCCTACCCACAGATCCCGAGACTAAGTTACATAAAGTGAATTTATGTGTTTCTCAACAGTTCTGTTTCAAATGCATAAATAGGCAGGAATGTGATTCTTGTTCAGAACGTTATAAAATATTTGATAGCAATCCTGTTAAGCAGTTTATGAACTATGTAATGGAAACCCGTAAACATTTCAAAAACGTCTGTGTAATTGCACACAACGGGCAGGGTTTTGACTTTCACTTTATACTTAGGTATATACTCGAAGAAACTAAATTCACACCAAACATCATCCCTAGAGGTACTAAAATTATTTTGATGGAGGTTGCTAACGTTAGATTTATTGACTCTCTTAGCTACTTCCCTATGTCCTTATCTGCCTTACCAAAAGCTTTTGACTTACCACCTGAAAAGAAGAAAGGTTACTTCCCACACTTGTTCAATACAGTGGCTAATCAAAATTACATAGGCCCTATGCCAGAAAAACATTTTTACTGTCCTGAGAGTATGTTCGAGAAAACTCACAGAGATTTTGAGCAGTGGTACGATGAACAGGTTGCAAAAAAGTATGAGTTTAATTTTCAAAAGGAATTATTAGAATATTGTATGTCAGATGTAGATATCTTAGCTCAGGCATGTATCAAATTTAGATCGTTACTACTTGAACAATGCAATGTTGACCCGTTTCTCGAGACTGTGACCATCGCGAGTGCCTGCAATCTGGCCTTTCGCCGCAATTTCTTAAAACCTAACACAATTGGACTTATCCCAAAAAACGGTTACCGGTCTTCTACTCAGTCAGCTGTTGCACTTCAGTGGCTTACCTGGGAGGAGGAAAGACGTGGGGTGACAATCAATCATGCTGGACGTAGTAAAGAGGTTGTTATAAAGGGGATGAAAGTAGATGGTTTTGATGGTAGAAACATATACGAGTTCCACGGATGTTACTGGCACGGGTGCCCTAAATGTTTCTCCTATAATCGTGATACCCCGTTAAAAGAAGACCCCTCTGATTCTCTCCATTTGCGATATGAGCGCACTAAAGCTAAAATCGAAAAGCTCGGAGATGTAGTGCAGATTTGGGAATGTGAATTCAAAAAATTAAAACATGACCAAAAACTTAACCATCTGAACAAATTACCAATTTTAAATACACTTCCATTAAATCCTAGAGATGCATTCTTTGGAGGTAGAACAGGAAACGCAAAAACCTACTACAAATGTGGTCCAGGAGAAACCATACAATACGTCGATGTATGTTCGCTATATCCTTTTGTAAATAAGTACTGTAAATATCCTATAGGTCATCCAACTATATATGTTGGTAATAAGGAATGTAGACAGAGAGGCATGGATGTAGATGGACTGTTAAAATGCAAGATCTTGCCTCCTTTCAACTTGTATCATCCGGTTTTGCCAACACGTATTCATGATAAATTGATGTTTGTTCTCTGCAGAACATGTGGGGAAATGATGTACCAGGGGGATTGTTTTCATGAAAGTGAAGATAGAGCGTTGATTGGGACGTGGACGATGGATGAAATTAGGAAGGCTGTAGAGAAAGGTTACATTATACTGGATATGCTTGAGTTGTGGGAGTATGAGGTAGCCACATATGAAAATGGGGGATTGTTCACTGAGTTTATTGATAAATTCTTAAAACTAAAGCAAGAGGCTTCTGGATACCCCGGATGGTGTAAGACAGAGGAAGACAAAAACAAGTACATTGCAAAATTTCTTGAACGTGAAGGGATTGAGATGACAAAGGAGCATATTGTTAAGAACGGTGGTTTAAGATCAGTAGCAAAATTGATGCTTAACAGTTTCTGGGGCAAGTTTGGGCAGAGGGAAAATATGATGAAAACTTCAATCATCCGAGATGCCAAAGAGTTCTTTCGGCTATTAACCAATCCTGAGGGGAAGTTAAAATACTTCCAGGCAATTAACCAAGATGTTGTGCTAGTAAATTGGCAAAATATTGAAGAAGCTAGTGAATCTTTAAGAACTGTAAGTGTAGTCATGGCGGCCTTCACTACTGCCCACGCTAGACTTAAGTTGTATGAACACCTTGATGCTCTAGGAGATCAAGTACTATATTGGGATACAGATAGTATTATATATTACTACCACGAAGGGTTGTATAGGGTGCCTACAGGAGATTACCTTGGTGAAATGACAGACGAATTAGTAGAGTATGGACCCGGCTCTTATATTACTGAATTTGTGTCTGGGGGTCCAAAAACGTATGCATACCTTGTCTGGTCGACAAATCAACAGAAATTTATCCCGGTTTGTAAAATCAAAGGGCTTACTCTCAATATTAAAACATCGAAAATTTTGAATTTTGAGAAACTAAAAGAGATGGTTTTAAGTGAAGCTTCTAAAATCGTTGAAATTGATGAGCACAGGATTAGACGAACAAAATATAGAGATATTGTAACAACAGATGAAGTTAAACAGTTTAAGGTAACTGGTCCAAAGAGAAAGTACGAAGGAGAGCATGACACTCTCCCCTATGGGTACAAAAAACAGAAGCATTGACCCTTATATAGGTGGGTGTCATAGTATGTTTTTAATCACTTTACCTGCAACAGTCAGCGAGAACAGACGTATCATTGGTGATCTCCTCACTTGTAATGGCTGTATTTCTGAGGTTTCTGTCTAAAAAAGACATAATTGAAAGTAAGAGGTTTGGTATTAAGACCTCAGAGTTTCAGTTTTTTCTCACTGATTCGATAGATGTGTTGGAATGGCCAAGGGCATTTTCAAACCATATTATAGGAATAATTACAGAAGACACACCCTCATCATGTTTTATTGGGGTGTTATTAACATATGAAGACACATCTGGTAATATACCATTTATTCCAATTGCAACACTTACGCCAGCATCATTCTCTAATTACTTTGACAGTATATTTGCTAAAATAGAATCAATGACAGGTGTTTTAAAAATTGAAGTGACAACCGTTTCTATACCAAGCAGGTATCGTTGATAAATAAAACCCTAAATCATTTAACCTAAAAATGAGTTTAATCCTTGAGATTCTATGAACATGAGATAATGCTCTAAAATTTTCTCCAGAAAATAGCTACCAATTAAAATGTTGGAATATGTATCAAAGTAAAGTACATTGTGACAATATAATTTTATATCAGAATATGAATATTAAAAATATACAATTCAAGTTAAAAACCAGATTATAGTTCAAGGTGTTTCCTTGTGTGTGTGTGTGTGTGTGTGTGTGAGAGTGTACTCGCCCAACAGGCAGGCTTAAAACCCATAAGTCCAGGGGCTGGTACGGAGGTTGGCCTAAAAATCGTAAAACATTGCGTTATCCTCCCTATGTGTATGTGTGTGTGTGTACTCGCCCAACAGGCAGGCTTAAAACCCATAAGTCCAGGGGCTGGTACGGAGGTTGACCTAAAAATCGTAAAATATTGCGTTATCCTCCATGTCACCTAATTTCCCTCTCACTTCGGACTATAATCTGACAAAAACAAATTAGAAAATCTCTGTCATTCTTAGTAAATAAAATGTCGTAGGCTAAAATGAACGGTTCGCTTAGTAAATGGCCTGATGACTTTTAAAATGAACGGGTTGACAGAGGCAAAAAACATATAAAAGTAAAATATCCTTTGTCAGTGGCAAAAGGGGTTAATTGAAAGGCTTCACCAAGTAAATAACCCTTTACATTTATCAAAGGACCAAAAAAAATTGGGAGGTGGCAAATCTGTTATGGAGTGACCATCACCGTAGGCTGCGATGGTTGGGGCAGCCTACCCCAGAGGTTAGGACTCTTGGTGAAGCTCTGGGTTAACAAAAAGAACGCGCTGAGACCCTACGGCCTAGCCTAACAGCTTACCGTGGTGTGGAAACTGGGTCACCTAAGCTCTTTTGAGATTAGGCAGTTACATACAATTACCATTTACTTGAAATGAGTATACTCCTCCTCCTCTTCCTTTTCCCCTTCTTCGTCCCTCTCCTTTTCTTTCTCCTTTTCCCTCATCCTTATCTTCTTCTTCCTCCTTTTCTCTTCCTTCTCCTGCTCCTGCTCCTTCTCATTTTCTTCCTTCTTCTCTTTCTTCTCCACCTTCTCCGCCTTCTTCTCTTTCTTCTCCTCTTCTTCCCCCTTCTCCTCCTCTATCGCCTTCTCCTCCTTCTCCTCCTCCTTTTCTTTCTCCTTCTCTTTCTCCTCCTTCTTCTCCTTTTCTTCCTCCTTTTCCGTCTCCTCATCCTACAACTCCTCTTCCTTCTCTTCTTCCTCCTTCACCTCCTACTCCAGGTATAGTATGTTTAATTACATATTTAGAAATTGAATACACAACTATTGTTTTATTTTTATATCTTCTGTTCTTTATTTATCCTTATAATGGGTGTTCTATGTTTACGAGTCAGTAAAATTATTAGTTTTCATTGCTCTAAAACTAATTTCAAATACATAATAAAAAATACATTCACTAAAATAAACAGTACAATCAAATTGTTCCTCTATAATCCCTGGTAGGTATGTAACTTTTACAGTGGATTTAAGCAACCATATTAACCAATTCCCATCTTTACTCTAATTCTTTTGTAAAGTGTAACTAGTTGACCATACCATTCAGAAATCATCTAGATATTTAAGCATAGACCTTGACAAAAAGTAATCAGGACAGTATACTATATCTATAGAAAATAATCATTAGCACTATACAGGAATGACTAAATGTATACACTATTAACCAGAGATAATGCAAATTTAACATCAGTGTAAAAAAGGATACATTAGAAGTTTTATGTTGGTAAATCTAAACATAGAGCTATTATCAGTGCGTAAGGTCCAGTAACTTAAGTCAACATACATTCTAGGCTCTCCACTGTTAGGATATGACAGGTATAAAGAAAGATGTTAGACAATAATGCACAGGCAACAGTCATCAGATAGTTAAAAGGGTATGTTTACAGTTACAACAACAAAAAGACATAGACAGTAAATTTAAACACTTAACACAGCCATTGATATTATTACTATGTGTTTAGCTAAACAGAAAACTGTTAACACACAAGGATTATAACAGGTTTTAATGTAGGTAGCAACAAGTTATACAGTAAACAGCTGAGGTGGTGCATAAATGTGTATGTTGATCCATGAAAATATCAACAAGAAGTTACACCAGAAACCACAATCGAAGGTGATAAGGTCAACACAATCAGTATCAGTTGTCAAATGTACAACTCTATAAAAGTTATTGTGTATTAGAACAGTACAATTATTAAGTGTAATACAATGCAGTACAAGTAATAAGTGGGTTCAGTACAGTACAGATGTAATACAGTGCAATACAAGTGTAATACAATATATTACAAGTGTGATACAGTACAGTACCCATGTAATGTACCAATTTAAAGTTACAAGGATACAGGTAATTAATTTAAATCATGTTACATTCATTACCATAAACTTGGTAAATTACCCTATTTGTTTCTTGTTATTCAACGTTTCAATAAATCAAGCACAAGTGATAAAACTTCATCAACACTAGTTTAATTCCAAAAAGACTTGTTTTAGACTATATACATAACTAAGGTTCAAAGTTAAGGTTATGTCACAGCTGATTAATTTGGCAGAAACATATTACACAAGAAATACCAGATATGAAGATGGGTATTAGTAAGATACAAACCTATAACCTCTGGGATCATAGTTCACACTACTCCCACTTCAATACTAAAACTCAAAGTATTAACCCAACCAGATCGGTGACTGATAGGATTCGAACCCACAACCTCTGAATTGAGGTAGTGCATGGTTATTATTAGTCAACAGATGTTAGGCCAGAAAGATGAAGTCATTCACATATCAGATTTACAACACTCTACAAAAGTGATAGTATATTAGTTGGGTGTATTAAAATACAGTACAAGTAATTAGTGAAAAGTACAGTGCTCATTTTTTTATATGTTGGTATAATCTTTTGTAGTAAATCTTCAGTGCCAGTTCGTTAGTTTCAAGGTAATAGTTAAATTACATGTTAGAGTGATACATATAAGTCTATGATGATTACCATTAAATAAATCATTTAAGTAAGGTAAGCATTAATATAGGACAAGCTTTATCAGATATTCTGTAGATGCTTTGTTAGTCAATATATCATTAAATTAAATGACACTAGGCAAATTTCATCGAAACTAGCGCTCCAGTGTCACAAATATGAATTAATAGACTTGGTATAATACAGAAAGTGGGGTTATGTTACAGATACGATCTTGGCATAGGAAGTCACAGCTGATTAATTTAACAGGTACATGTTACACAACGATAAGAAATACCGGTTATGAAACAATTAGATACTAGTAGGGTTTAAACCCTAGACTGAACCACTTAACTCTCTATACCATACTAAAACTCATTGTAACCAAGAATGAAACAATCAGTGGCTGGTAGGGCTCAAACCCACAACCTCTGGGATCAAAGGTTCACACTACTCCAGTTACAATACAACATCATACCAAAAATCAACATATCACCCCAACCAGAAATGAAACATTTAGTGACTGGTAGGATTTGAACCCGCAAACCTCTGGGATCAAAAGCTCATACACAGACAGGAGACTACAATACAACACTGAAAATCAACATATCGCCACAACCGGAAATTGATATTTGGTGACCAGTGGGATTTGAACCCGCAAACCTCTGGGATCAAAAGCTCATACACAGACAAGAGACTACAATACAACACTGAAAATCAACATATCACTCCAACCGGAAATGAAACGTTTAGTGACTGGTAGGATTCGAACCCGCTAACCTCTAGGACCAAAGGTTCATATACAAACAGTTAACTACAATACAACACCAAAAATCAATATATCACTCCAACCGGAAATGAAACGTTTAGTGACTGGTAGGATTCGAACCCGCTAACCTTTGGGACCAAAGGTTCATATACAAACAGTTAACTACAATACAACACCAAAAATCAATATATCACCACAACCGGAAATGAAACGTTTGGTGACTGGTATGATACAACACCAAAAATCAACATATCACCCCAACCGGAAATGAAACATTTAGTGACTGGTAGGATTCAAACCCGCAAACCTCTGGGATTAAAGGTTCATATACAAACAGTTAACTACAATACAACACCAAAAATCAACATATCACCCCGACCGGAAATGAAACGTTTAGTGACTGGTAGGATTCGAACCCGCAAACCTCTGGAACCAAAGGTTCATATACAAACAGTTAACTACAATACAACACCAAAAATCAATATATCACCACAACCGGAAATGAAACGTTTGGTGACTGACAACACCAAAAATCAACATATCACCCCAACCGGAAATGAAACATTTAGTGACTGGTAGGATTCAAACCCGCAAACCTCTGGGATTAAAGGTTCATATACAAACAGTTAACTACAATACAACACCAAAAATCAACATATCACCCCGACCGGAAATGAAACGTTTAGTGACTGGTAGGATTCGAACCCGCAAACCTCTGGGACCAAAGGTTCATACAGTTAACTACAATACAACACCA